AGTCATCTGCACATAATTATAGACATTCAGCACATTCCATTAAAAAAAAAAAACCAAAGAAAAGAATAATATTCAGACCACAGCAAAGTTCTGTTGCTGTTGTGGTACCTGGCACCATTTTTTCTATTAGCCTCTTAATCATCATCTGGAAAGAGAACATTCTAGAGTAATATCATTAAATGTAGCTCTGATAAAGCACAGTCCCTACTATGTATCATAAACCAGGTACTAGATATTTTACATTCATAAAGGTATGATACAGTACTGTCTTACATCAATAATACTGGATTCAGTTCTGGTTTGAAATTTACTTTGTCTGCAAATAAGATTGCTACCCCTGTTTTTTTCTGGGCTCCTGTCACATGGAGAATTGTTTTCTATCTTTTCACTTTCAGTCTATGGGCTTCTTTTTGCACTAGGTGTGTTTTTTGTGTACAACATATTGTTGGATTTTGCTTCTTATTCCATTTTGCCAGTCTGTTTCTCTTGATTGGTGAGTTGAGGCCATTGATATTGCTGGTTATAACTGATATGTACTGACTTATTATTGACATGTTATTGGCCTTTTGTTGATTCTTTTTACTTTTTCACCTTCTTTTAATTTCTTGCCTTGCCTATTTGATTTGCTCTGTTGGGCCTCATGGTGTTGTTGCCTTCATTGTCTTTTTCTAGGATCTTGTTTAGAATTGCTTGTAGTGCTGATTCATCAGAGTTTTATCATGAAAGGTTGTTGGATTTTGCCAAAGGTTCTTTCTACATGTATAGATATGATCATGTGATTTTTATTCTATTTATGTGGCGCTGTACTAATTTTTTTGATTTATATGTGTTATGCCAGTTTTCCATCCCTGGAATGAAGCCAACTTGATCATGATGTGTGCTCTTATTAATGATTTGTTGTATTCGGTTTGCCCGCATGTTGTTGAAGATCTTTGCATCTAAGTTCATTAAAGAGATTGGTCGGCAGTTTTCTTTTTTTGTTGCATCTTTGTCTAGTTTTGGTTATCAAGATATTGCTGGCTTTAAGAAATGAGTTTGCCAGCAAATTTTATGGAAGAGTTTGAAAGTATGACTTTAGTTACCTGAAGTTCTGGTAAAATTCAGCAGTGAATCCATTGGATTCTGGGCTTTTTTTTAGTTTATAAAGATTGAAAATACCATATGATTGATGGTGAGATGGTACAGGAGCTGGAAATCTCATATATTTTAAAGGAAATTTAAAACTATATTGTCACTTTGTAAAGCGTTGAATTAGCTTTAATTTAAGTTGGTTTTTAAAATAATCACACTTTTCCTTGTCCTCTTGCTGCAAAGAAGATATTGGTGTGTTTGATGATTATTTTGATAGTCTAAGAAAATCTCATTTTAATATGGAAATTTAAGAAACTGTCTTTGGTCATTATGTGCCTATGGTTGTATAATTATCTAACTATTAATGCTATACTGTAAAATACTTATACATAGTCTGGATGTATAGCTCGGTGATATATGAGCAAATGCATATTATGTTTACGTTCCTGAATTTCATCTCTAGTGCCAAAAAAAATACATGTGATGAAATAATTTAATTTATATATTTTTTTTTTCCAGAAAAAGATTTGTGTTCTGAAATGCTGAATCATGAGTCTTGCACTTAATAACCTGCTTATTTGTTGCCGGCAACTGGAAAATGATAGAGCTACAGAACGAAGGGTACTAAATTACTTAAATTTAATTTTTCCTTGGAGCAAATCTGATTGGTAACACATTTATCTGATTATTTTTCATTTTCAGAAAGAAGTTGAGACCTTTAAGCGCCTGATTCGGGATCCTGAAATAGTTCAAGATTTAGATAGGCATTCAGATTCCAAACAAGGAAAATACTTAAACTGGGATGCTGTTTTCAGGTTTGCTATTCTAGTTTTTTACTGTCTTTATTTTTCTCTTTCATTTTTATTTCTGTTGAGACGTATTTTTAAAGCCTCTATTTCCTGTATATCATTATACCTTGCATGTGAAGTTGGCATCTAACAGTTAATCTAAAACATAATTGAAAATATTGAATTATTTGTTTAATAAGTTGTCTTAGACATCTCATTGAAGATTGAAAAAGAATTCTTACGGGTTTATAATTTGCTTCAAATTAGAGAATTAAATTGTTACTTTAACATCTTTAAATATTTTGATTATAAATAACTGCCACGTGTTAAATTGTAAAAAAAATGAGTTTTTCAGATGAATGCAATAAAACGAAACAAAAAACTCCCACATAATGAAAAGACAAAATTACTGGACAGAAGTGACAAATAGGTTTGAGGTATTTGAGAAATAATTTTCAACCATAAAGTCCATGTATAATGATTGTAAGGCTTAGGAAAGCTAAGTATTATAAATTAATGTAGAATAACATTTGAAGCAACATTTGCATTCTAGAGGAAATAGGAGTAAAAGAGTTGTTTTTGAGTATTTTGAACAGGTAAACTTTTATTTTTTAGCTCTTGTTACTAGACTGACTTAACAGATGTGAATTCATAGGACATGAAAGATGCATGCTCCTTTTTCTTTGATTACTTGGTTTTGTGTGGGGGGGGTTGTTTGTTTGTTTTGTTTTTTAACCAGGGACTGAACTTGGAACTTTGTGCTTGTGAGGCAGGCGTCGGAACCAGTGAGCAGAATCCCTGGCCCACTTTGTTTATTTTAGATGCCACAAATACAGTTACAGTATTATATAAGAACAAGTAATATTTTGTATGAGTTGATTTGGCATGTCAAATTTGCACTTGATACTCTCAAGAGGCTGAGGCAGGAAGATCACCTCAAGTTCAAGGCCAGCCTGAACCACATAATTAAACTGCTTCAAAAGAGAAAAGAAAAATGCATTCTGACATAGCAAGAAGAACTTTTGAAACTATACAAATTTAAACATTAATGAGTTTCTAAGATTTTATTTTTTTTAAAGATTTTTACAGAAATATATTCAGAAAGAAACAGAATGTCTGAGAACTGCAAAACCAAATGTTTCCATCTCAACACAAACCTCCAGACAGAAAAAGATGCAAGAAATCAGTAGTTTGATCAGATTCTTTATCAAATGTGCAAATAAAAGTAAGTAGCATTCTGTTATAAATAAGTTATTTAATAGGTTATAGTAGCACAAGTTTGATATAATCATGGTAACTTAAGAGATGAGTGCTAATCTTCAGTATATATAATTTTTTTTCTTTTTATTGAGTTTATTGGTACAATCTAGGTATACAATACAATTACATTCATCATTGGGATTCTGTACCTTTACATAGTAGGTCTTGATTCTCATTTTTTCCCCTTGTCCCTGCCCTCCCTTCACCCCCTCCTCCCCTCCCCATTTACAAACACTTCATTTCCATTTTTTCAGTTTCTCATATTTTTTTCCTCTCCCTTATTACCTTTCCCCCACCTTTCCCTCTTTCCCTACACCTTTAGCCCTTTACTTCCTATTTCACATTATTAATTATCTCATTAGGATCCTGTGTACTATTATAGTTTTTCACACCAAAGAAACTATTTGGTATTTCAGTTAAAGAAATCTCTGTATGAACATTAAAAATAGGGAATCCTAAAATAAAACTGAAAAGGAAAGTAAAAGAGAAAAGGCAATGATGTAACATCAAAATAATCCTTAATTCTGGAGATGAAAATGGTCCCTGAACATATTTAAATTGCTTCTCGCTCTTATAGTCTTATCTTATTCTTTTTTTCATTATTTAGAGAATACTTTATTACTTTCTGTAATCAAACTCACGTAGATATGACCTTACATATTTAGTACGATGTGTTACCCC